CTACCTCACCAGATTGTATAGGTGAGTGTGCTCCAGATTCCTTCCCTTAAACATAGTCATCTGATGATACTGTAGAGGTGCACTTTCTTTGTGATTGTTCCAGTCTTTTGGAAGAGTTCTCACCTGAGATACAGAAGGGTCCTATCCTCCTACTTCCAAAAAGTTGTGAAGATTGGGCTTTTCCCTCAGGTACTGGGATAGGATGGGGAGCAGCCAGAATATAGAACTGATGTTGTGGCACCTCGATAGAGGTGTTATGATGCCCCTTATATGGACGACATGATTGCTTTATTAGTTTTGTTGTGAACCATTTAGAATTACAGGTAGTTCTCAACTTACAACCATTCATTTAATGACCATTTGAAGTTACAACAGCAATGAAAAAAGTGATTTACGTATTGTTTTGCACACTTATAGCTGTGGCAGCATCCCCATGCTCACATGATCAAAATTCGGATATTTGGCAACTGGTTCATATTTATGAGGGTTGCAGTGTCCTGAGGTCATGTAATCCATTTTTGCGACCTTCTGATAAGCAAAGTCAATGGGGATGCCAGATTCACTTAATAACCATGTTACTAACTTAACAGGTGTAACGATTCCTTTAACAACTGTGGTAAGAAAGGTCGTAAAATGGGGCAAAACTCAACTATCTCACTTAGCAACAGAAATATTAGGCTCAATTGTCTTGTAAGTTGAGGACTACCTGTATTGTATACAAAACACCTGTGTATGTTTATCAAATAAATCAATCTAGGAGCACTCCCACATTTTAAGATAGGGTGGTGGAACGTAGTCTGGATTCAAAGGAGGAAGAAGTTGCATTCCAGAGGACAAAGAGGCTGTGCAGCTTGGAAACTTGGTCAGCATGAAGAGGGTTAAAATGGCTCCTTCCTACTATTCTTTCCCTGAAAGTAAGGCCTACCCCAAAAATAAGCCCTAGTCTGATTTTGGGGTGTGTAGCTAATATAAGCCCTACCCCCCAAAATAAGCCCTAGTTTTGGAGTGAGGCACACACTTAAAAATCAAGCTAGGGTGGGGGTGGGGGGTGGATCTGCCCCATGCGCCCAGCACCCACTTACCTTGCAGCCAGTCTGCTCCTTGCCGGCCCACTTCTTCTGAGGCATCTTCTGCAGCCAGGCCTGCATTTCTCAGCCAGGCCTGCATTTCTGGAAATGCCACTGTAGCAGAGAACCGAGCTATGAATTGAATCCATAGCTCGGTACTTGGCTGTAGAGATCTTCCGGAAAAGCCTGACTGCAAAATGCAGGCCAGAATGAAGCTGCTCCTTCAGCTGCAGAAGAAGTGGACCAGTTGGGCAGGGCTGTTGGTGCAGGAGGTGAGTAAAAAAGACACCCCCCCAAAAATAAGACCTGGTGCCTCTTTTGGAGGCCAAAAAAAATAAAATAAGATCCGGTATTATTTTCGGGGAAACACAGTAGTTCCCAGATTATATCTATTTTTATGCAAATAATTGCTTTGGCCTTGCAAGATTCTATTTATAGGTGAAGAACAATAAAGGAAATGACTCAGAAAGAATTCATTACTTTTTGTTGTTCTTGGTTCTTGGGGTTTGACAGGTTGAGGGGAGAATAAAAAGTGGCTAAGGCTCACAATGGCCAGACAGTGAGAAGTTGGGCCCTTTTGGAGGGATAGTATTTATTTTCTAGGCAAGTTAAGTCTTCATTTGATTATATATCTACCACCTGAAAATTGACCACCAAATTTTAGCGATACAATCTCTAAATATTCTGAAGAAGGGCCACGGGTTCCGTGTAACCTACTCCCAGTATAAGAGAGATATGATCTCTTTCAAAAAAAGCTGAATATCATACTGATGAGCAGAGAAACCACTTATTAAGATTCTTTAATTAAGTAATTATCTAGTTGGTCATTATTTATTAAATTTCTATGCCACCCATTAATATGTGGCTGGTATTTGAGAGTAATACTGATCAGTTTGTGACTTTCTGTTGTTTTATATTAAGACATATCAGGTGTTCTTGAGTTGGTGGTGAAAAGAATGCTTTCTCTCTGCAGAAGGATGTGAAGACAAACAAGGTAACAAGAAAATACTCATTGGACATTTTCTTCGTCTGAGGAAAAGGCCACAATTAAAGAGAAGATAGTATATTTTGCATATGAAAGGTCTGAAAAGCTTCGGTAAAAAAGGTCTATTTATGAAGCTCCACTGCTACTCAAGGTACAAAATACTGGATTAGACAGATCAATATTTTGATATGATACAAAGCAACTTCTGGTGATTTGGAAGGTGTAATAATTATCTGCCTACTGTTGTATGAGTTGTCTTTAGCATCTCTCTCTCTCTCTTTGATCAATTTGAGAGAATCACTCTCTGACAAAATTTGAGAAGTCATTCATTTTATTTTTAGACTGATCTATGAACCCAACCCAGACATTTGACATATTGTGGTTTCCCTTCACAATAATCTCACACACTTGACTCTGCATTGATGACCCCCAATTCCCTTGCGTTTACCCTTTCCTATACCCTATTGATCCCATCCCTTTCTGATCCTTATAAAACCCAATAAAATATTTAATAATAATAAAAAAAGATGGCCTAGACCAGTGATGGCGAACCTTTTAGAGACTGAGTGCCCAAACTGCAATCCAAAACCCACTTATTTATCACCGGGTGCCAGGTAAGCGTGGCCCACTGGGTGGGCGTGACTGTGGTGGTCATGGCAGATTGGGTGGGTTCGGCCAAGGTAGGTGTGGTCACCTCGATGTTGCTCGTGGGGAGGGACACATATGGGGGCCGGGAAGGGTTGGGGGAGAGCCAGGGGATCTCTGGCAGGTGGGGCGGTGGGCAGGAAGCTTGTCTTGCAGGGTGAGGTGAGGCAGGGCGGGGGTGCCATTGTTGCAGGGCAAGGCGAGGCAGGGGCCAGGGCAGCTGCTGCCTAACACCATCGCCCCCCCCACAGAGGCCAGCGAGCGCATGGAGGCTGACAGTGTCTGTCAGCAGCCACAGCCTGCCGGCCCCTCGATCAGTGCACTCTGGGGTTCCGCAGCGCACTGCCAGCAGTTCAGAGAAGCTGCCTCTGAGCTAGATGGACGGCTGACAGCTGAAGAGACGATGCAGTGGGTCGTGCCCAGGAAAAGGAGAGCATACGAGACCAGGAGGGATGGAACGGGGGAGGGAAACCAGCCGTACAGGGATGCATCCGGCCACATGGGACCTCAGCGAGTTAGCGGACGGCTGGTTGAAGAGGGACAGTTGCCATCTCCGGGGCATGGCGCGCGTGCCCACAGAGAGGGCGCTGAGTGCCACCTCTGGCACCCGTGCCATAGGTTCGCTACCATTGGCCTAGACTTAGATCTCTTGTGGTGTGAAGGAACTCAAGACTGATGATGCTTTTGACCTCTCCCTTGGGCCGAGCCTGGTCATCTCCTAGACGTAATGTTCTCGTGCTGAACTTCTTCCTGTAAGAAAGCAAATTTGTTAGAGCAATTGGTAAAGGAATAATTTTCACTACTTTTGCTATTATGTTATGCTGGGAACATTTACCCCTCTGTTAAAATGAAGACACCCTTAAATTGAACTGATCTCCTGGTAATTGAGAATTGCGTAGTTTTCTTGGTGAGAGTATGGAAGTAGCTTTCCACTGCCCTTTTTTCAGGATTTTTTAAAATTTCCCAATCTAATTTACACCAAATTCGCTACTAGCTTTATTTAACTTATGAATCCAGAAAGTCAGGGGTTGCTGCTTGCTGAAACCTGTTTATCTCACCTCAGTGTTGGGACACACAATGGGAGAAAAGGAATATTATTTACCCTTTGGAACCCCAATAATATAAGAAGCAAAAATGTTTTCACCACAGCCACATTCCAGAGCCAACAGATGACATTTTGGCCCTGGTTAGAAGCAACAAAGAAGCTCCCGGTATCTTCTTGGATTCTATATGCAAGTTTCTGGGCTTGGAAGACCTATTGTCCCAGCCACTCTGCTAATTACTAGTGTGAATTATGTCGCTGCCTTGCTTAATGACCACCAGGATTTATGACCATAATGGACAGGGTAGTCAAGGACTACCTGTAACCCACTTTGACACCTGCTATACCTGTTCCATTTATTCTGGATGAATCAGATTTACTAGCTTGGAATGTAGAAATACGGTAACATATAATACAAATATTTTCTCTTGTCCATTGGAAGAGTTCAAGAAGCCGCTTGCTCTATGACCTTGTAGAGAAAAGGCAACAGTAAAGAATGTTCTCTTATAACAGGGAAATAACCAAGCAACTAGCCACGTCATATAAATCAGTTGGGGCAGGATGAAAAGACAGAAAATATTTTTTTCGCGTTTTTATTTCCAGGGATTCCCCCATCGATACAAAGTGATGTCATGGCAGGTAGCAACAGCATTTCCCCTTCTGCTTCTGGCAGCTTCCAGAAGTTTGGCCGAGTTCTCCATCTCCAGGGAGCAGCCCAAAAATATGAACTTGCAGTTAAATACATTGAACCTGCAACTGAACGTTTCCAAGTTATATCATTGCCATCTGCGCATTAAGAAGCATGCTCTCTGAAATATCATTTGCGCTGCATAAAAGCCGTTTGAGCAGTTAATTTTGGAGCAGTTTAAACCCTCCCGCTCCCCATGTAGAAAAAGAAATATCGTTTTGATTGCACAGTACACTTTTGGGTCGCTGGAAGCATTAAGAACCCGACACATTTGAAAACCTCACTGAAGAAAAGTAATTTGCTTTACATTTTAAAAAATGCATTCAAATTGCAGCCAGGGCGGCTAAACGGTCCAGGGCTCCTGCAACTACAAAAACAAAATGGCCCAAGCTCTCGTTAACGTCGAGCTTAGCTAGCCGCCCTCTTTTGCACCGCGCTTCGACTTGCCGGTACTAGAACTCGCGCACCGCCACGCTCCACAGCCCGAGCGCTACAGCCTCCTAGCCAGGAAGGCAAACGGTGAAAGTGGGGGGGAGCTCACCACGTGACAGTCGGCCCATTGCGCAGGCGCGATATGACCGCCTGGTCAGGAGCCGGATCAGCTGGGAAGAGGCGTGCACTGGAGCTGTTGGAAGAGCCGCCCCCGCGGTCTGAGCTCGAGCGGGACCGAGAGAGGCGCAAAGGTAAAACGTCGGGACGCTTCCCAATCGGGCAAGGCAGAAAAAAAAAAAGGCTCAGGCGGCGAGCCTATCGCGGGGCTGCCTTTTGAACATTTCTGCAGCCTTGCGCGGCGCTGCGCTGAGCCGGTTCGCCGGATGAGCGTTCCCCAGAGTTGGTTCTGCGGGGCAGCCTCGTCTTAGCGGGCTGGACGACGCGCGAGTTTGGCCATGAGCGCCCTCCTCTTGTGGGATCATCTGAGGGCGGGCAGCTCCGAACTGGACTGGTGCGAGGATAACTACACCATCGTGCCCACCATCGCCGAGTTCTACAACACGGTGCGTAATCGGAGCCGCCATCCGCCTCTCGGGGCATCAGTCCGTGGGCGAGCTTTAAAGCGAGAGCCCGAGGGCTTTGCAAAGGGCGAGGGGCGCTCGGCGCACGTTTGCAATCGCCCCGCGCTTGTTTGCCACTGCTCTCGGAGGGTTTGGAAAGTGTTGCGTGCCTGGGAGCCGCTGCTGGAATAGTCCAGTTGAGCTCCTTGCTTAATAGTATGGAAAAAGAAGGAACGGAGCATCAGGTGCCCTGACTACCCCGTAACGTGGCGGGCAAGGTTCTGGCTTAAAATGTGCCATTGTGGTTTGCAAACCAGGGTTTCTTGGCTCGACTCGGCTAGAGAGCCACGATTTAACATGCGAGAATGTTCACGTAACGTGTCCGTTGCCTTTCTTGAAACGCGATTGGCAATAGGATTCTGTGAGGTTTTGCTACGCGTCAATTTTGAGTAGACCGGCGTTTTACAACTTTAGTAACTTTTTTTAAAAAGTGCGTGGATCTCAACTCCCAGGCTGCGGAATTCAGGGAGTTGAGATCTACGCGTCCTAAAGTTGCTAAGGTTGAGGAATACTGGAATAGACACAGAAAGAGGAATTTATTCATTTTGTAGGTTCTCCATCTCATATACACGAACCTGGATGGCTAACAATGAAAACAGTGAAAACAAAACAAACCAAAATTAAAAACAGAAATAGTAGCTAAAATGGGCTCATCATGATACCAGGGCCCAGGTTTAATGGCAAAACCAGTTCTTTAGTGTCTTGTGAAAAGGCAGCAGAATACATACAGTTAGTTCGTTGGGTTTTACAGTAGTTATTTGGGCCTTAGGAGGCAACCACACACACAGCACAATCTGGTTACTGAATTAATCCCCCCCCTTTTTGGGGGGGATCTGCAGGATATATTGAAGCATGATGCTTACTAAACTGATATTAATATAGAACACTATGCTACCCAAAACGCTAACCAAGCTTAGCATGTTGTGAACATTTAACTGTAAATTGTACCTGTTTAAGTTAATCTAGTACATTTATGATTAAGGATGGCAGAAAACTTCCAAAGTTATGAATTTGTATTCTTATTCCCAAAAATATTAAGTGTTTGCAGCTTTTCTGGATTGTTTTCATTTTTAGTTAAGCACTTTCTTTGAAAGCAATTTGCTTTTCATATTGGAGGCTAAAGCTTAAATGGATTGCACTTGATTAATAGAGCAAAGCAATGGTCTCAAATTGTTGCAGTCATTTTACATTTTGCTTTAGGAAAAGGGGATTCTGGACAAATTCAGTTACATTTAAGAGGCTATAGTGGTTGACAAACTTCCATAGTTGTACATCAGTGTAGAAATTATGCTAAACAAAGGCGTAGCTTTGAAGATGATAAAGACTATAATTTCACCATGCAAATAAGGTTGCTAAACTTAACTTGCGTACACTTGTCCTATCATCCAAGCTTGGTTATGTTACCTGTCTTTATTTGGACATATAAGAAGATAAACCACACCAAGTCAAAAGTCTGTCTACTTGATTACCTGGAGGTGATTTTGTTGACTTATTCCTGCAATATTTGCTAAGTTAGCTGTAGGTCCTCTAGTTGGAATTAAGTATTCTATGTTTCCATGAAACTGCTTTATGATATTACAGCAGAAAGAGGTGTCTGGGGCAAATACTGACAGTAGTGGGATTTTGTTAGCAACAGCAGCTAGGATTGCTGTCACTAAGCAAAGCATTCATATAATGTCACACTTTAGAACCACATTGTTTAGTGACAAAAATGCCAGTTCCAATTATAGTAACTCAAGGACTACCTGTAGTTAATTTTTCATCTCCATCATAACTTTGAATGATGACTAAATGGGTCAGCCATTAAGCAAGGACTACTTCTATACATGTCCCTGGGCTAGATCCTGACTTGAAGAGATCTAAATAACCTTTTATTTCTAGGATCCTCTGTAGCTGAAGTTCACTGTCTTCTCTGAAATCATTCCTCAAAGGGTGGGAATTGTTTTCCAATATAGCTGGATTAAGACAATCCAGCAACATCTACTATCCTGAAGGAGCTGAATAGGGTGTTCGGCAACAGATGGCAGAGCTTACACTGTGGCGAACTCTCTTCACTCACTTGATCTCTACAAACTCAGAAGAATCCCCTGATTAATTACAGTCTCCCTTTTGTTATGATTGCTAAGGCTCCTACTTGATTAATGGCGCAAAATTCCTTCCAGAGAGAAGGATTGGTAGAAAAAAAATATTGAGTAATTTCTTTCTGCTTATTTAAATATTTTCCACTTTTCTCTCTAGATAAGCAACGTCTTATTTTTTGTCTTGCCCCCTATATGTATGTGCTTATTCCGACAATATGCAACCTGCTTCAACAGTGGAATATATTTAATATGGACCTTGCTAGTGGTTGTAGGTAAGTTATTCTGCTTTTTTATCAAATGTGACCTAAAAATTAGGAGTTTATTATCATTTTTAAATTACGTACTACCATGAAATCAAAAGAATGGATGTGTAACCATATAACTATAGGTGGTCCTCGACTTAACGACCACAATGGAATCCAAAGTTTTCCTTGTTACGCAAGACAGTTAAGTGAGATTTGCCCCATTTTGTTACCTTTTTGCCACAGTTATGTGAATCACTGCAATTAAGTTGGTAACACAATTGTTAAATGAATCTGGCTTCCCCATTGACTTTGCTTATCAAAAGGTTACAAAAGATGATCACGTGAGTTTGGACACTGCAACCGTGTGCAGTTGTCAAGCATCTGAATTTTGATCACATGACCTTGGAGATGCTGCAGCGGTCATAAGTGTGAAAGAAGGTAATGTCACTTTTTTTCAGAGCCATTGTAACTTTGAACAGTCATTGAATGGATTGTTAATTGAGGACTACGCATAATTCGGAAGCAGAATATGTACTTAAAATGAAGAACAGTATTACGAACATCATGAGCCCTTTAATGTGAGCATCCTAGAACAAGCCAAAGGGGAAAAAAAATGTTAGAGAATTCTTGGACGCTTGGCACACAGACAAATCAGCCATCAACAGATACATAGAGATAAACAACATCTACATACCATTCAAAAGAGACAATTGTATAATTTTTATTAAACCTAAAAATGGAAGATGAACAAGTGAAAGAAACAATGATAATATGGGCAAAAAATTTTGGGCACAATATAGAATTAGAGAAATGGCAAAATATATGGGAAAGAAACTATAAATTGACAATGGCAACTGCTTATAAAGAAAACTTATATAAAATGTTTTATAGATGGCATCTAACGCCTGTGAGGTTAGAAAATTGTTTAAAAACATGTCTAGTAATATTTGGAAATATAAGCAAAAACCAGGCACGTACTATCATATTTGTTGAATGTGTCCTAAAGCAAAAAAAATTTGGAGAAAAATACACATTTGGCTAGAAAAGATGTTAAGAAACATGTAGATTTTAAATCGGAATTATTTTTATTAGGTATAATATCAGAAAAATATGATAAAACATATATTTGATGTTGCATGTATTAACAGCAGCAAGAATTGTATTTGTCCAGCACTGGAAAAATGAAGAAATGCCATCTGAAGAAGAGATAATCAAGAAAATACTAGACTGTGCAGAAATGGACAGACTGACATTGAAAATTAAAGAAAAAGAATATTTTCAAATATGGGATGTATTTTACCAATGGCTGGAAAAACAGGGTAGAGATTAGGATTTTAATGTGTACTATTAAGCAAATTGGACCCAGACAACACGTTATTTACTAAGCACTTATGAATTGTAAATAGAGAAAATCAATAAAAAATATTATTAAAAAAGAGACAATCATATAACCAAAAAAAGAAAAAGACCACAACCTCACCATTACTCAGCACCCAGATGAGCAGAGATTAACACCAAGGTTAGCATTAGAGCAATAATCAAGAAATAAACGATACCTCAATCAAGGAGCTACCAACTCAGTCCAACAAACAGTAAATGAGAGCTTAATCAAGGAACCATCAAGAGCACTTCCATCAACACTGACAAGAAAGTCACTAGTGTATAAAAAGAGCAAACCCCACTGATAACGTTACCTAGTTTGGTAATAAAACATCTGCAAGAAAACAACCAAGCTCGGACAGTACCAAGACCCCCATAGTTCAATCCTGGGCTACAGATATTCTCTTCTATTGGAGTACTGTATTAAATATCACAGTAGTCCAAATCTATGCCCCAACCACTGGTGCTGAAGAGGATGAAATTGACCGGTTCTATGAAGCCCTACAGCACCTTATAGAATTAACACCAAAAAATGATGTCCTTATCATCATGGGGGATTGGAATGCTAAGGTAGGAAGCCAAAAGATAACCGGAATAACAGGCAAGTTTGGCCTTGGAGTACAAAATGAAGCAGGGCACAGGCTAATAGAATTTTGTCAAGAGAATACGATGGTCATAACAAACACTCTTTTCCAACAACCCAAGAGACGACTCTACACATGGACATCACCAGACGGTCAATATAGAAATCAGATTGACTATGTGCTCTGCAGCCAAAGATGGAGAAGCTCTATACAGTCAGTAAAAACAAGACCAGGAGCTGACTGTGGCTCAGATCATGAGCTTCTCGTTGCAAAATTTAGGCTTAAATTGAAAAAAGTAGGGAAAAGCACTAGGCCACTCAGGTATGAACTAAATCATATTCCTGATGAATATACAGTAGAGGTGACAAATAGATTTAAGGAACTGGATCTGATAGACAGAGTGCCTGAAGAACTATGGATGGAAGTTCGCAACATTGTACAAGAGGTAGCAACTAAAACCATCCCAAAGAAAAAGAAATGCAAGAAAGCAAAATGGCTGTCTGAGGAAGCTTTGCAAATAGCTGAGGAAAGAAGGGAAGCGAAAGGCAAAGGAGAAAGAGAAAGATACACCCAATTGAATGCAGAATTCCAGAGAGTAGCTAGAAGAGATAAGAATGCCTTCTTAAATGAACAGTGCAAAGAAATAGAAGAAAACAACAGAATAGGGAGGACCAGAGATCTCTTCAAGAAAATTGGAGATATGAAGGGAACGTTTCATGCAAAGATGGGCATGATAAAGGACCAAAATGGCAGAGACCTAACAGAGGCAGAAGAGATTAAGAAGAGATGGCAAAACTACACAGAAGAACTATACAAGAATGAGCTTAACATCCCAGATAACCACAATGAGATGGTCACTGACCTCGAACCAGACATCCTAGAATGTGAAGTGAAATGGGCCTTAGAAAATCTGAGCAACAACAAAGCTAGTGGAGGTGACAGTATTCCAGCTGAGCTATTCAAAATCTTAAAAGACAATGCAGTAAAAGTGCTACACTCAATTTGCCAGCAAATTTGGAAAACTCAACCGTGGCCACAGGATTGGAAAAGGTCAGTTTACATTCCAATCCCAAAGAAAGGCAATGCCAAAGAATGTTCAAACTATCGCACCATTGCACTCATTTCACATGCTAGTAAAGTTATGCTTAAAATCCTACAAGCTAGACTCCAGCAGTATGTGGATCGAGAACTACCAGAAGTACAGGCAGGTTCTCCAGCACTGGAGATGGATAATCCACGCAGTGGGTTGAGACTGTATTCCTGGCCAATCAGATCAGTCAGCCAAAGTTGCCACGCCCCGTCTTGGACCATGATCCTTTAGTCTTGACTGATCTGGCCATGCGAGACATCTACAACTTTTGGCTCCTGGGCAGGTATAGTTCCTTTCCATTAAGGGGGATTTTTTCTAGTAGCTGAAATTGCTTAGTTTAAAAGTTAATTAGAGATAATTTAATTCAATTTAATTGACCACTCAAAAATTTCCTTGCTAAATTGTAAAACTCAGGAAGTCAGATTCCTACAGGGGAAACCACCCCCACTTAAAAGGGGGAAATCCCTAACTCCCCTCCCTAACCAACCCCAGCCACCTTCCAGCAGCCGGCAGCCGCCTTAAACAAACGGGGAGGCTCGGGCAACCCCTCGCGTTTAAAACAAACAAACAAACAAACAAACAAAAAACAAAAAGACAGAAAGGCAAGCAGTTAGCGAGGGAAGCGGAGGACAAAGGGGACGCATGCTGGGAGGGAGATTGATTAAGGGAAACAGCTGGCGTGCGAAGGAGCAGTCTTTTCACTCCAGGCTGTTCAGGATTTTTTAAACGAGGCGCCATTGTCTGCACAGCTGGAAGCACGCGCAGCTCTTTGTTACAACCGCACGTGGCATAGGCAGCCTTGTTAACACATGCGCAGTAGTTTCCTGGCAGCGGCGGCCATATTTTTTGTCCAAACAGGGGAGTTAAAGTTCCTTAAGAAAGCTAGCTAGCAGGGTTTGCTCCCCAGTGGGAAGAGACCACCACGGACGTATGGGTCAGGAACACCATACGTCATGGTCTATCTCTAGAATTTCTCTCAAAGCCCCCGAACCGCTTCCGCCCGTGCCCCTGTCCCACAAACCCAACAAAGAGAAGGCTCATGAACGAGGCCGTTCAGCACCTTCTAAACATACGGGCCGTAGAGCCGGTGCCTATGAACCAGAGAGACCAGGGGTTTTATTCTATCCTCTTCGTGGTCCCAAAACCCTCGGGGGGTTGGAGAGCCGTTTTGGATTTGAAAAGGCTAAATTTCTACATAAAATACCGCAAATTCAAAATGCAGACACTACGCTCCATCCTTGGAAGCGTAAGGAAAGGGGATTTTCTGGCATCGATCGACCTCACGGAGGCATACTTGCACATCCCTATCTCTCTGGCTCACCGCCGCTTTCTACGGTTTGCCTACAGGGGGCACCATTTTCAATACAGGGCACTTCCATTCGGCCTGTCATCAGCGCCCAGGGTGTTCACCAAGATTCTGGCGGTTCTGGCAGCACAACTAAGAAACGTACCAGTCAGAGTCCAGTGCTACCTGGACGATATTCTAATCCAGTCATCGTCCGCCCAGCAGTCTCGGGCGGACCTAAAGTTAGTGATAAAAATGCTGCAGGACCACGGCTTCTCGGTGAACTTTCCAAAGAGCCATCTAACCCCAACTACGAGAATACTCCACCTGGGAGCGGTCATAGACACAAAGGAATGCAAGGTGTACCTATCACAGGAACGCCTCAGCAGCATAAAGAAAGCCGTAAAACAGGTAAGCCGCGGTCAGTCAGTGACGCTGGTCTGTCTTTCCCAGCTGCTAGGGAAGATGATATCGACCATAGCAATAGTTCCTTGGGCAAGGCTGCACTCAAGAGAACTGCAATGGTTCATGCTCCCGTTTCAGAGACAACAAATCAGTGCATCCCGGAAGAGGGTAGGCATACCTCCGAGAGTACGACACTCCCTCAGGTGGTGGCTATCTCCAGCTCTCCTCAGGGGGTCCCCCTTCAGGGAACCAGACAGAGTCGTAGTCACAACAGATGCGAGCTTATTCGGCTGGGGAGGCCACTTGGGGACCAAGTGGACACAGGGCCGCTGGTCAGCGGTGGATCTCCGACACAACATAAACTGGCTCGAGCTGCGGGCTATTCACCTAGCGTTAAGGCATTTTCACAGCAGCATAAAAGGCAGGCACGTACTGGTCCTGACGGACAACGTGACAGCCAAGGCCCACATAAACCGTCAGGGGGGCACACACTCTCGCTCGCTCTCGGCCGAGGCCCTCCTACTGGGGGCCTGGGCGGAACAAAATCTGGCCTCCATAAAGGCCGACCACATATCGGGGGAGGCAAACATCCAAGCAGATCTGTTGAGCAGATCAACAATAGATCACTCGGAGTGGCAACTACACCCGAGGATCTTCAGGGAGGTCTGTCACCGCTTCGGGCTTCCCCAGGTGGACCTTTTTGCCTCTCCTTCCAATGCCCACCTAACTCGCTTCTTCTCCGATTCCCATCCAAGGGAGCAGAGCAGACGGACGCGTTACGGAGCCCATGGCCAAGGGGGCTCCTGTACGCGTTTCCACCCTTACCTCTCCTTCCGGCGGTAGTACGCAAGATTCTGCGGGAAAGGGCCGAGGTAATCCTTGTGGCCCCTTATTGGCCAAGGAGACCTTGGTTCGCAGACTTGAGGAGTCTCTCCCGCACGAATCCATGGCGGATTCCTCCGGAGAGGATCTCCCTCAAGCAGGGGGAGATCTCCCACCCAGAGCCACAATGGCTACAACTAGCCGTCTGGCTCTTGAACGGTCAATTTTAGCCAAGGGGGCTTGCTCACAGGGTGTAATTAGGGTCATACAGGCATCAAGGCGCCCCTCCACGAACCGTATCTACGAGGCCACGTGGAGAAGCTTCCAATCATGGTGCTCTAAACAGGAATTGTTACTCGAAGGGATCACAATTCCCAAGATCCTAGAATTTTTACTAGATGGCCTAGAGAGGGACCTCTCGCCAAACACACTGCGCAGGCAAATCGCCGCCCTCTCAACTATACTTTCTGCCAGCCCCGGTGAATCCTTGGGCAAGCATCCCTTAATACGATCCTTCCTCAAGGGGGCTGCAAACATCAGACCGCCAACCGTGCACAGGTATCCATCGTGGGAACTACCACGAGTACTACAAGCTCTTACCAGAGCGCCCTTCGAACCACTCAAAACATGTGACATTCGCTATCTGACCCATAAGGTAGCATTCTTGGTAGCCATCACGTCAGCTCGGCGGATATCCGAGTTAGCTTCTCTCTCAATGAGGAAGGACCTGTGCCTTTTTCACAGGGACAAGGTAGTCCTAAGAATAGACCCTTCATTCATTCCAAAGGTCAACTCCCTTTTTCACAGATCACAGGAAATAGTCCTACCAGACTTCTGTCCAAACCCGCTCATCCCCTGGAGCAACAATGGCACACCTTGGACGTACGCAGGGCACTAAGACATTACATTTCACGCACAGCGGAATTCCGACGCTCGGAAGCGCTTTTCATATCCTTCCACCCTGCTACTAGGGGCCGGAAGGTCTCGTCCTCTACCATCGGTAGGTGGATTAGGGCATGCATCACGGGGGCATACCAGGCGGAGTCCTTGCAAGTCCCCAAGCATATCACAGCCCATTCCACAAGGAGTGCTGCCACCTCAGCAGCATGGGCCATGCAGGCTTCTATTGAAGAGGTATGCAGGGCAGCCACTTGGGCCTCGCCCTCTCCATTCATTCGTCATTACAAAATCGACAGGTACTCCTCTGCAGAGGCCTCCTTCGGTAGGAGGGTTCTCCAGCAGGTGCTAGACCAAAGTTGCACACGGGACCAGTCTATTCCCCAACCCAAGGGACAATAGGCTTTGGTATGTCCCACTGCGTGGATTATCCATCTCCAGTGCTGGAGAAGGGGCGTTGACTTACCTGAACGCCTTTTCTCAGCACGGAGATGGATAATCCACACCCACCCTTATAGACTAGAATAATAGGGTATATTTAGTGGAGCCAAAACGTCTTACTGTTAGTCAATGGCTGCGCTCGAGTTAAGACTAAAGGATCATGGTCCAAGACGGGGCGTGGCAACTTTGGCTGACTGATCTGATTGGCCAGGAATACAGTCTCAACCCACTGCGTGGATTATCCATCTCCGTGCTGAGAAAAGGCGTTCAGGTAAGTCAACGCCCCATTTCGAAGAGGCAGAGGAACTAGAGATCAAATTGTCAACATACGCTGGATCATGGAGAAAGCTAGGGAGTTCCAGAAAAACATCTACTTCTGCTTCATTGACTATGCAAAAGCCTTTGATTGTGTGGATCACAACAAATTGTGGCAAGTTCTCAAAGAGATGGGAGTACCAGACCATCTCATTTGTCTCTTGAGAAACCTATATGCGGGTCAAGAAGCAATAGTGAGAACCGAACACGGAACCACTGATTGGTTCAAAATTGGAAAAGGAGTCCGGCAAGGCTGTATACTGTCGCCCTGCCTATTTAACTTATATGCAGAGCACATCATGAGAAAGGCAGAGCTAGATGAATCAAAAGTTGGAATTAAGATTGCCGGGAGAAATATCAACAACCTAAGATATGCAGATGATACCACTCTAATGGCAGAAAGTGAAGAGGAACTAAAGAGCCTCTTGATGCGGGTGAAGAAAGAGAGTGCAAAAGTTGGCTTGAAACTCAACATTAAGAAAACCAAAATCATGGCATCCGGCCCTCTCAATTCCTGGCAAATAGATGGGGAAGAAATGGAGGTAGTGACAGATTTTATTTTTCTGGGCTCCAAGATCACCTCAGATGGGGACTGCAGCCAAGAAATTAAAAGACGCTTGCTCCTGGGGAGGAAAGCTATGGCAAATCTAGACAGCATTCTAAAAAGCAGAGACATCACCCTCCCAACAAAAGTGCGTATAGTCCAGGCCATGGTTTTCCCAGTTGCAATGTATGGCTGTGAAAGCTGGACCATAAGAAAGGCTGAGCACCAAAGAATTGAGGCCTTTGAACTATGGTGCTGGAGAAGACTCCTGCGAGTCCCTTGGACTGCAAGGCGTTCAAACCGGTCAGTCCTAGAAGAGATCAACCCCGACTGCTCTTTAGAAGGCCAGATCCTGAAGTTGAAACTCAAGTACTTTGGCCACCTAATGAGAAGGAAGGACTCACTGGAGAAGAGCCTAATGCTGGGAAAGATTGAGGGCAATAGAAGAAGGGGACGACAGAGAATGAGATGGCTGGATGGAGTCACTGAAGCAGTAGGTGTGAATTTGAATGGACTCCAGAAGATGGTAGAGGACAGGAAGACCTGGAGGAACGTTGTCCATGGGGTCGCGATGGGTCGGACACGACTTCGCAAGTAACAACAACAACATTAAATTTGGTCAATTGAGTTGACCAAATACAGTATATAAAAACAGGATAAAAATCTAAGAATAAAGAATAACTATATGGGGAAAATCATTAATTATTCCTCTAGAGCAGGGGTCCTCAACCTTGGCAACTTTAAGACTTGTGGACTTCAACTCCCAGAATTCCTTAGCCAGCTGGCTAAGGAATTCTGGGAGTTGAAGTCCACAAGTCTTAAAGTTGCCAAGGTTGAGGACCCCTGCTCTAGACCAGTGGCTCCCAACCTTTTCTATACCCTGCACCCTAGAACGCTTCTTATATATTATCGCACCCCATACAAAAGTTTGAAATAACGGCAACGAATTATGCATATGCACTATAATTTTGAAAACCCAAGTGTTCACACTTCCTGGAGTGTCGTCCTGCACCCCGGTTGGGAACCCCTGCTCTCGACAAAAGGACTACACAGGATTTTTCCTGCTTCCATGTTTTTCAGAATCTCTGAATTAAATATTTCCATGAGACTGGCTAAGCAAAATCTTCGCAAATTGAAGATTTGGCGGACAGGTACATTAAAATTAATGTTGCTTTTGGAGGGCAAGTGATGCCTTTTTCTTGCTAACTTTTTAATTGTATGTTTCATCTAAAGTACAAAGTCTTAATTTTCAGACAGCCGTTGGAAAACAGTGATATGACCATGCCTTAGTGGTAGAATAATAATTGTTTGTTGTATCTCTGCAGGGATCGGATCTGTCTACTTCCATGCTACGCTTAGCTTCCTGGGTCAGATGCTCGATGAACTTGCAATACTTTGGGTCCTGATGTGTGCTCTGGCTATGTGGTTCCCCAGAAGGTATCTACCCAAAATGTTTAGGAATGACAGGTAAATATCTCTGGAAAGCATTGTGTTCAGCTTTTGTGCCTTAATATCATGTCTGTTTTCTTGAAAGAAAGAACACAGAAAGATGATTCTTGACAAAAACAAGTGCAGGAAATTAAAACTGATGTGTGGTAAGCTAGCCTTAGCTTAGGTCTGTCTTTGTATAGGCAAGCAGATTGGGATTCAGCTCAGTTACAGCTGCTCCAACTTGCCCTGCAGCTACCCTCCCAATGTTATGGTTTTCCTATTGCTGCCTGTGATAGACAAATGACCAAGCAGAAGACAAAGCAAGTTCTTCTCCCAGTTTAGCCACAACATTTAAGATTAGGGAAAGTGTATTTAAGTAGTTGCCTCATAACATAACTGATGACTGATGCAAAAAAAAAAAGGCAGAAGATAAATGTTAAAGTTCAAGATTGTTTTGCATGTTGGCTGGAAAAGTAAAGGGCACTGTCTTGAGGGAATTTACCCAGTTTGGAAGAACTACACAAACTAGTTTTGTCTAGTGGGTTATTAAGGCACCACTCTAGAAACCGGGAGATGATAAATTTCCTGCCTTAGTCCTGAAAACCGGCTGGGGGACCTTGGACCAGTCACACACACTCAGCCCAACTCACAGCCACGGAACTGTTGTAGAGGAGGGAAAACAGGAGGAGTAAGGAGTATTAGGTATGATCACTGCTTTGAGTTGTCTACAAAAATAATACATGTGGGATATAAATTAAGTAAATTGATGCCCCAATGGGTCATTGGTTCAGACATATTTGCTTCCTTAAACAGAAATAGAATGACCACAAGTGGGTAAAATAGTGCGTGTGGGAGCTACTCCCAACTTGCTATAGAGTTTTCTTGTGGGAAACTGGTGGGCAGCCTTCCCTTCTCTCCCCTTCTTCTGCCCTCCCGCAAGTTTTAATGCTGGGCTGTGAGTCAGGAATTGTGCATGGGGATGTGCAAGAGGTGCTGCTCAGTTCAGGAAGAGGGTGTGGGTGTGTGCAACAAATGCCACATAGGTCAGATAGAATGCAGCCCCTTGTGTGGGGATCATGGGGACATGTAAGAGATGCCACATTGGTCAGGTAGGGTACACAAAAGCGTGGCATAGATCATGAAGGGTGTGTGTGTGGGTCATAAGGCTGTGAGAGAGGTGTCTTGTAGATCAGAGAGAGCACATGGGGAGGTTGCTGGTAGAGAAAGGTACCTGGAGATGCTTGAGAGTATGTGAGATGTGCCATGCAAGTCAGAGATGTTGCATTGGTGCCAGTATAGATCAGGGTCAGTGTGGGTCAGAAGGCTGCATGGGCCTTCCTCCTCCCTTTTTTCCTTCCCCATTCCTTCCAATTCCCTTCTCTTTCAGCAAGTTAAGTGGCTGTTGCTGGGTGGGGATTGCTGGACTGGCTGGGAAACTGTCATGAAAGGTTGAAAATGAAGTTTACCTGATCATAGCAGCAGTGCAGCAGCAGCCATTAGCTCTGAAGCAGCCACAACTTTCCCAGATTTCATTCCTCAAAAATCATGGATCTGGAATTTTGAACACATGTTGTAAGCTTATTTGAAGTACCTTGGTTTAAAGTCGGTGTCCTAGGATGCACCGTTTTGCCCAGTTAAAGGTCATGACAATGAGAGTTTTAGGGGTATATAGGTATATTTCCATCGGGTGATTGTTGCTAAACCTGTTTGTTCTGGGTAAATTTGGTCTTACTAGAATCTAGTTTTTCTGCCTGGATTCTTTAGTGCTATACATCATAGCTGCCACTAATATAGCATTAAGTTCCTCTGAACTTAGGATGCTCTTTGTAACATTATAGATAAGGCCGAGCAGGCTGAAATACTGACACAAGGAAAAAAATCTATGAAAAGGTTTAGGATTTTTCAAGTGGCATGTTTGTTGGCGGTTGCTGGGGTAATGAGAGAGAATTGGGTTAGAGATGGTTGGTCTAATCCCTCAGCAGCTCTTCCCAAAAAAGATTATAGGATTAACATGTAGCCCTGAGCCCCAGAACAAAGACGAGAGGAGTACAGATATCATATTTGCAATTAATCCCTTTCTTTTGCTCCATCTCTCATAAGTATAGGGCCGATTACTCACTAAGGCTTTATTTGCCATGTGACAAATTATGAAAAATAGCTTAGTCGTCCCCCAGTGTAGCCCCTTTTACATCTATTAAACTACAGCTCCCATCGTCATCAGGCAATCTGGATTTGAGAAATTACCCTTTACTTTAGGGATTTATATCCAGCCCTTCAGAGACGGTTTCTAGGTTGGCAATTTACTGAACAAAAGTCAGTAATTTTATACAATACACACACGCACGCACACATCTGAGAAAGTCTCTATCCTTTTGATGGTCCACAACATTTCTGTGCTTTGGCATTGCTGTCACTCTGGGGTAGCATTGTGGTTGAGCCCTAACAGATGTGAGTGTTGTGGCTGACATTGATTGAGGATTATTGCAAGGATAGGAGCAGCTTGAGATACTTGGCACTGAGCACACCCCGGCAGCCTCCAAGGTAGGCAGAAGGTCTGGCTGAGCCAAGCGCAGCCTGCACAAGTCCCATTCAGCATATAAAAGGGCCAAGAATGCAAGGTTTTTACAGAGAATTTTACTACGGGGTTCAGCCTTGCTAAAAACCTCTGGTTATGATATGGGTGCATTGCAATTTTGCACTTCTCCTTCACCCCCGCTGCTAGATTCGACCTTGCTGCCAAAATTTGGTTGAAAGTGCTTTCATAATTCAGATCTATTTAAAACCATTCCCTCTTTCATAGCTAATGGCAGTCAGACCAACCTCAGGGTTTTTGCATTACAGGTAGTCCTCAACTTACAACAGTTCATTTAGTGACCATTCGAAGTTAACAGCGGCACTGAAAAAAGGGACTTATGACCATTTTTCACACTTATGACCGTCGCAGCATCTCCATATGGTCACGTGATCAGAATTCAAATGCTTGGCAACTGGTTCATATTTATGACGGTTGCAGTGTCCTGGGATCACCTTTTGAGACCTTCTGACAAGCAAAGTCAATGGGCAAGCCAGATTCACTTAACAACCAACTTAATAACTGTCTCACTTAGCAACAGAAACTTTGGGGTCAATTGTGGTCATAAGTTGAGGGCTACCTGTATTTTCTGAGGCTTGTTTTTGGCCGACAAGTCAGTTTTTCTTACTTCTCAAATGTCTATATTCCCACAGCTTTTATTACCTCTTTTTCATCATGATGGGGGCAATAACCCAGTGTTTGTTTTAATTTTTTAATTTATGCCTCTGAGTCGTGTTGACTCTCATTTCCTGCTTCCCAGGGCGGAGGGAGTGATTGGTCCAAGGTCACTCAACTAGCTTGGTGCCTATGGCAAGACTAAAATTCAAAAACACCCGGTTTCTAGCTTGGTGCCTTAACCACTGTGACTACACCAAACTAACTCCCTGTAATTCCCAGAAAAATCTATAAAATATCCCTTTAAACCCTCCCTCACTTCAGTTTCATCCAGAATGATCATGTTACTTTTATTTTTAATTCTAATCACTCTTCTGCAGTCTTTGTGTTTCTCCCTCTTCTTCCACATCCAAAACAATTTTTTTTAATTTCCAAAATTGTTCTGCATTTTCTCTTTGAATATTATCTATAGTCCTTGTTCTGTGACTACAGTTTTTGCAAATGTTTTTTTTTGTATACAGAATAGAATAGGAATAGGAATGGAATAGAATAGAATAGAATAGAATAGAGTTGGAAGGTACTTGGAGGTCTTTTAGTCCAGCCCCCACTCAAGTAGGAGAATCTATACCATCTCAGACAAGTGACTGTCCAGTCTCTTCTTAAAAATCTCCAGTGATGGAGCGCCCACAATTTCTGAAGGCAAGCTGTTCCACTGGTTAATTGTCCTCACTGTCAGGAAGTTTCTCCTTAATTCCAGGTTGCTTCTCTCTTTAATCAGTTTCTCACCATTGTTTCTTGTCCTGCTCTCTGGTGCTTTGGAGAATAATTTGACCTCCTCTTCTTTGGGGCAGCCCCCCAAATTCTGGAATACTGCTATCATGTCACCCCTATTTCTTTTCTTTAGGCGAGCCAAACCCAAGTCCTGCAGCCGTTCTTCATATGTTTTAGTTTCCAGGCCTTTGATCATCTTAGTTGCTCTTCTCTGTACTTTTTCCAAAGTCTCAACATCTTTTTTGTAATATGGTGACCAAAATTGGTTGCAGTATTCCAGGTGTGGTCTCACTAGGGCAGGGTAGGCAACCTCGGCTCTTTTATGACTCATGGACTTCAACTCCAGTCAGCTATGCTGACTCGGGAATTCTGGGAGTTGAAGTCCATGAGTCATAAAAGAGCCAAGGTTGCCTACCCCTGTGGTACTAATACACATTATACAACATTCTCCTTGCACCTTCCATTTTTTACAGCAAACATGCCTTTATAATGCCTTTTTTCTCACTCACCAGATCACTGTTTTCACTGTTTCTCCTTTTTTTTAAAAAAAAAAAAAAACCATTTGCTACCATCTCACAAATGGGCTGTTGAAATAGGCAATAGGGTGCCAGCTCTGCTCACACTTTTTGTGTAGTAAGAATTGGATGCCAGTTCATAAACTCTTCTACCAGTTCTGCTGTAATTCTCAGAGGATCAATTATAAGTTTACCTTTTGCCACTTACAACATTTAGCATTTGGGAGTATGAACAGCATAGTATAGGGGCTCATTTAAAGGGAGAGCTGTTGATATATTCTGATGAATTCCTAAATCAAGCTCATTGTTTGGTCTCATCCTGTAGCTCGACCCATACAGGTAGGTAATCCTCAACTAGCAGCCTGGTATCAGTGGTTCATGCAGTCATATCCTCAGAATTTTCTTTATGTGGTCACCCATAAAGTCAATGCCAAAATTGTACTTGGCACAGAAAGCAGTTGTGCAGTGATGAGTGTGATGACGAATAGAACCACCTTGGAAATGACCAAATAGCTCACTTTGCCTTTTGCTTTCTTGAACGCAATTCAGAGTGCTTACTAAAGATAGATAGATAGATAGATAGATAGATAGATAGATAGATAGATAGATAGATAGATAGATAGATAGATAGATAACCTTTATTGTCACTTTTGTTTAGTGTGGGCACAATGGCACACATTAAAAACGAAATTTAGTTGCTCTCAAAGTGTACACATGCACAGCACACACTTAAACATACTATATACAATATGTGTATAGACTTATACCCTTACATGTAAGTAACATATAAATATTAACCAGTGTACAAAGAGTGGACAAAGTCTTGCACAACTTAGACCGCAGTTAGGCGTAGGACAACATGATATGGGAAAAGAGCAGGCAGAGCAAGTTAAGCGACTTGTCAGCCTAGAGTCGTTAAGTTCTCCCAAACGGTCTAAGTACAACCCTTCCTGACTTCCGTTGTGAATAAATCCTCATCAGATAAGGGTCAATGGAATTCAGGAAGGGTTGGGCTCAACTTGTTCTGCCTGCTCTTTTCCTACATCAAGTTCTCTAACTTTGGTCTAGGATGGAGCAATAAATCTTCTGAACTGGAACTTAATTATGACCCTTATCCTTCTTGAGTGACAGTTATTCCTTTATTGTTTGCTTTGCATTCTTGGGTCCACAAAGAGGCACTGTTTCCAGATCTTGCTACAGATACATTTTGTTGTCCGTAGTTACTTTGTTGGTTTTTTTTCCATAATGCAAGTGGAACAAACTTGTTGCTGGAATTAAATTGGGTCCTCTCCTTGTTACTGGAGAGGGGTTTTAAATTATTCCTGTTCACCTAGGATCTAGAGTGAAATGCCTTTCACAGAAGCGGTGATTGTTTCATTTTATTACAGGTAATCCTTGACTTATGACCGATTGCTTAATGACCATTCAAAGTTACAATGTACTTACAACCTCTTCCCAAAAAGTTACAAGTGCTGCACTTCCTGGTCATGCAATTGCATTTTGGGCACATGACAACTAACACATTTATGACTGGTTGCAATATCCCAGTGTTACGTGATCACGTTTTGTGACCTTTTTTTTTTTTTCGCCATTTTCTGACAAAAAATATCCATTGGATAAGCTGGATTTGATTCACACAACTCACTTAATGTCTGTTGTAAAAAAAAAAGTGGTTGTAAAATGAAAGTCTGATCAATGGCGACTGCAATCACTTGCGACCAAATTTCCTGGCTATTCGTCGAGGACTACAGTACTTGTACATTTTTGCAAACAATTGGAAATGGGCAGCATATACATTTTCTAAGTAAGTCAAGTAGGTGGTCCTCCATTCCGCATAGTCCTTTAAAACAAATGCATTTGGATTTGCAAAACTTGTGGCTGTTTTCCCTCAAACACCTGAAGCATTAATTATACCATGCAAATAGTTTTTGACACCTGTTTTTATGTCTTTATTTCATCCTCGAGTGATTCTATTTAAAATATATATATAATTTTTCAGAGGCCGGTTCAAAGCAGCAGTGGGCATTCTTTCTGGAGTCACTACCTGTCTCGCCTTTGTTAAGCCCGCCATTAATAACATCTCCTTGATGACATTAGGTCTTCCCTGCAGCGCCCTGCTTGTTGCAGAACTGAAAAGGTATGTACCAGACTGGCTGAGACAAAGCAGATAAATTATGCTTAGATGTATGACTAATTCATTTATTTAGAACCCGCCTTTATTATTTTTAAAAAATAACTCCAGGGAGCGAAAATATCCAACATACCTTCCTTCTCCTATGTTCCACACAACCGCAATCTTGTTAGGTGAGTTGGTCTGAGCAGGAGGATCTGGCCCAAGATCACCCAGCTGGTTTTCATGGCTAAGGGGGGACTAGAACTCACAGTCTCCCCTTTTCTAGCCTGGTACCTTAACCGCTGACTAGACCAGGGGTAGGCAACCTTGGCTCTTTTATGATTCATGGACTTCAACTCCCAGAATTCCTGAGTCATAAAAGAGCCAAGGTTGCCTACCCCTGGACTAGACCAAATGGGCTCTCCAGTGCTGATGAAGTTTGTTCCAGCACAACCTCATCCTGTTTCTAGTTGAAAGTTGTCATTTGGCTTTTTCGGTGGTAGTGTGGTCCTAGGAGAAGTACTCTTACTCTCTCCCCCCCCCTATAAACTTGCTTGATACATAACTCCAAGTGTAGCACGTGGTCTGAACCCCATTTTGAGGCTTTAGAAGCTCTGATGTTAAATACAAAGAATATTCCCCTAAATACAGAACCTGGACTAGATGCCACAGTACAGGGTAGCCATTAATGAAAATTCAAACCATTCATGGTAAATGCTCAAAGAAATCTCATAATCGTAAGTTATGGACCAGGGTAGTGGTGCCATGTAAAGAATACATATATATGTGATTGATATAAACCATGTATATACAATATCAAATTTAAACCAAAATTGAACTTATGAAAGAAATCTGATAGATGTTAGATTTTCTTCTCAGTAAGCAAAAATCATCTCCCCCCCCAAGTGTTATTGCACTAGGTCAGAGGTAAGCAACCTTGGCTCTTTTATGACTTGTGGAGTTCAACTCCCAGAATTCCTGAGCTAGCATGGCTGGCTCAGGAATTCTGGGAGTTGAACTCCACGAGTCATAAAAGAGCCAAGGTTGTCTACCCCTGCACTAGGTGATGCTATATTGTTGCAGAAGGAAGCAGAATTCTTCAAATTCGTCTTTTTAGGTAGAAGAATAAGTCCAATAAGATCAAATTCTATGACATCTCCTTTACTTGAGATTTGGCTGCTTGCATGCTTCTGGTCAGCTATGGTCCCAAAAAGTAGTGGCTACATTGCTGTGTGGTTTTTGGGCCGAGCTTCGGTCAGTCCGTCTCAATTTTTTGGACCATAACCTGTAGACATTGCTATCTCTGATACTTCATTTGTGTCAGTCAGTAATTCAACAGACTTACTAAAAACTGTATTTTGATCAATAATCCAGGTTGATTTAAGCTTCCACGCGTTTTATTCCTTTACGCTATTGCTGATATAACTCCCAGTTATCCCTTTTGTTTCTAGGTGTGATAATGTCCGAGTGTATAAGCTGGGACTATTTTCTGGACTGTGGTGGATGTTGGCACTATTTTGTTGGATTAGTGACAAAGTATTTTGTGAGATTTGGTCATCTTTTAATTTTCCTTATTTACACTGCGTATGGTGAGTCCTAGTTTTATTCTCCTTTTTTAAGTATTTCCCTTTGCTGGTATATATACCTGTTTTCATTGTAATAGCAGCACAATTTCTTGGTGTGTTTCATATTAAAATCAGATCTCGCTTAAGGTGGTTTTGGTGATTAGTTTGTTCCTTAAATCAGTCAAGTTAGACAGCATTAAAGAAATAAATTCTGATAGAAAAATATATTTCTGTTCCCTCATTTGTGTTCTGGCAATAGCATAACAGGGTGTGTTAAGATTCCCAAGAATAAGGAAATTGCTGGGCCTCCTTTCATAACTAGAGGCTGATATTTTTGGGTCGAGGTGCTACAAGTTACAGTAGGTGGAACAATGACATAAGATAGCAGAGGGATTACACTAGGGACAAAGATTTTTCTAAGATTTTACAGGGATGCTGTAGCTAGGGATGGAATATTGAAGGAACAGTGCTGGAAGTCTGTTCTGAAGTTTAAACCGGGGGGAGGGGTCCAACCTTGACAACTTTAAGATCTGTGGACTTCAACTCCCAGAATTCCCCAACAGCTATGCTGACTGAGGAACTGTGGAAGTTGAAGTCCATAAGTCTCAGCAAGTTGTCAAGATTGGATCCCCTGGTTTAAACCATTATTTCCTAGCTATAATCAATGTCTCCTATTTTTGACAGATTATCAAATTTCAGAGTCTGAGGGTCTTTGGAATCGCTAAAAAATAGTCCAGGAGTTCCAGGTGGCCCACAAACCAAGACTACTCCATTTCTGCTTCAAATCCTGATTGGAACCTTATTTCCCTTAAATCAGAGAACCAGTACTCCTAGAAGCAGCTGGTTCATATTGTGAGATCTCAAATCAGCATCTCTGAGAAAGGAAGCTAATTTGCCTTCTTTCCAGAGAGGAAAAAGTTGCCAATGCACATATAAAAGTGTTAACAACTCCCCCTGGGCCCTCTCAATGTCCTCGAGTGGAGCCCTGGGATCCAAGCTTGCCTTCACAATACACACAATCTGTTTTACACCCTGTTTCCAGGGTACAACAGAAGGCAGAGCAGCTACTGAATGTTTTCTGTGTTGCTATGTGAGTAGTATAAAAATAAAACTCATACAAAAGCTCTCCACTTCTTGAGGAAGTTTTGTAGTTGCTTTTCCCTGCAAATTGCATACTTTGCTGCTTCCACTGACCCCAAGCGATGCTCCTCCTTGTGAAAGAGTGCAGAGAATAGCAACAGTTAGGTCTGGAGGCTAAAACATACAAAGAACGGTTATAGGAATTAGGTATGTCTAGTCTAATGAAAAGAAGGACTAGAGGGGATATGATAGCACTGTTCCAATATTTGAGGGGCTCCTACAAAGTCGAGGGGGTCAAACTATTTTCCAAAGTGCCAAAAGCAAGACAAGAAACAATGGATGGAAGCTAATCAAGGAAAGAAGCAACCTAGAACTAAGGTGAAGTTTCCTAATGGTGAGAGCAATCAGCCAATGGAATAGCTTGCCTTCAAAAGTTGTGGGTGCTCCATCACTCAAGGTTTTCAAAAAAAGACTGGACAACCATTTGGCTGAAATGGTAGAGGGTCTGACTAGAAGACCTCCAGATGCATTCCAACTCTATTATTCTATATTCTAAGACCTGAAATCAAAACAACCCTTAGTCCTTTTGCTTCTGTCTTTTCCAGGCACATCCTCATCTGTATTGCAGCTTACTTGGGCTGCGTCTGCTTTGCCTATTTTGATGCTGTCTCCGAGATCCCCGAACAAGGTCCCGTCATCAAGTTCTGGCCCAGTGAGAAGTGGGCATTCATCGGGGTCCCCTATGTCACTCTCCTCTGTGCTCACAAGAAGTCTCCCCTCAAGATTACTTGAAAGGCAATGGAAGCGTCCCATCCTCTTTACCTGCTCTTTCTCCAAAGGGCCTGAATCTCTAGTGGGAAGATTGCCCAATGAAGTCCTTGCTCTCTTCACTCGGCAGCAGAGGACACCTGATGAGGTTGTCCGAGCAGAATCTCAAAAAGTTTGTTCCAAGTGGTCTAAGTAGGCCTGAATCCACACAAGGAAACATGGAAAGCAGAAAGCCTGTATTTCCACAAGCGTACCTCCCCCCAAAAGTAAAGTTATTTCTTTTCTACTTTGACTGCCTATCACTTTTGGTGGGCAAGGAACTGGGTGACATCTTACCCTGCCATATTAAGCAAGGAGGAGTGGAAAAGTGGGTGTCTATTTCTGTGAGTGTGTGGATGGCTATGTTCTGGTTTGGAAATAATCATCAGATTTGTGTATTAAGGATTTAATAGAATTGCTTTGCAAATACTTCTCTGCTGCCTATTTATATTTACACGTTAATTGAACAAATGAAATCCCTTTAAACTCTGGGTCAGTTTAAGAGGAGAACAATCCTTGAGAAGCTGGCTCTCTTAATCCATCAAAATATCAAACACATGATAATATTTTTTTTATCCACATATAATAGTTCACTCTTTGGGGACTTGTTTACTGATAGTTCAGGAAATAAGATGTAGGAGAAAAGTCAGTGAAGAAATAAAAATTGTAGTTGAAATGACTGGTTATGAGGCTTTACTTGCTCTCCAGGCAGTTAAGTAATATTTCAGCCGAGTTCTTGGAAGGAGAGCAATTCAGCAACCATCTACCAGATTTCTGCAAAAAAAAAAAAAAGCAGTTTATCTCTCAATCTCTATTTTAATTCCACATTCTTTGCAAGCAAACGAATGCATTTGGAAAGGTTTTAGTTTAATTATCCGTCTGGTTTTTTTTTTTTTTTTTTTTTTGCCTCTTGTTGCTATGACATACTTTTAGGAGATAGTTATATAGAGAGCAATCAAGCCTCATTATTCATTTCCATTTTTAAGCAGATGTAACTAAATTTCAAGGACAGTGAAGAATCAGTACTTTGGTTTCTGCAGGTGTGAAAGCTTCTTAAATTGTGCATACGTTGGAGTGTTCCCCAGATTCTGAAATATTTTAACATTTATTAAAATACATGTCAGGGAGTCAGTAAAATCAAAATGGTGCTCATGACCATATGGTTAAAAGTTCAGCCCCTTTTTTGTGATGCAGGAGAAAAAACAGACTCCCGATGAATACTCACTATTTTGATTTTTTTTTTGACTGATCCTGTAGATGACTCTGCAGTGAGTCCTATGAATTTTGGAGCTTTTAACATCGCTTTTTAAAGAACCCTTTCTGTTGTACATTTAAATGATTTAAATTTAAGACATGGGCTAATATAAGATGAGATGCCCAATAAATAATAGGCCACAGCTTAGTGGTTTGGGGGGAAAAGGAAAATACAGGCTACAAATAAGTTGGTTTGTTTTCTAGCATATGCAAAAACAAAATAGGCATTTCTATTCCTGGATACAACATTGTAAAAAAAGTTGTAAAGTTATAATTGTAAAAAAAAAAAACCCACTTCCTGCAACTAAAGTTACTCAGTTGCTGATGGACCAAGCTGGGTAAATATTTCTGCTTGATTGTGGAATTGAATTTTAGATGTTTTGTTCCTTTCTATTGCATTTGGTGGTGACTGCTCAGTTCCTTGATGCATTGCCAGAAATGTTGCATGGAGCATTAAATAAATGGGGCCAACTGGCCATGTGGAACTTTTCCAAAGTGGGATGATCAAGTTGATTGAGACAGCTTTACCATTGTGGGGAATCTCTGGACCGGCCTAGTTCCATGCCTAAACTGAGTGCCGCAAGGCTCTATCATTATGGCCTGGTCCCCAACTTGGCGATAGGATAATTCAGTGCTTTCCCTTTGAACTACAGTGTTTGGTCATGCAGTTGAAAAATAGAAGACACATCTGTTTTTTCAAAGCTGGGACAGTTTACCTTAAGTGATCATCAGTAGACGTTTCCCCGATGGCTTGAGGCAGATTTCTTTGGCCAACCGATGGCAAAGTGAGTGTAGATGAAGTCACCAACACAGCAATGATATAGCTGTAATTGGCCAGTTTCCTCCCCATTTCTTGCCACCTGATTACCAGCACAGATCCTAATCCCATACAGCAGTGTTTCCCAAACTTGACAATTTTAAGGCATGAGGACTTCAACTCTGGTTGCTGGCTGTGGAATTCTGGGAGTTGAAGTCCACATACCTTAAAATTGTCAAGTTTGGGAAACACTGCCATACAGTTTTGAGCTTGTCTGAGTTGGGATAAGCTCTGAGTTCTGAGTGATTTGAGACAGCTATTTGGGGTCTTCAGCTTGTAGGAATGGATAGGCAGGCGTGTTAGTTGTATGTTGGTTTTCCTAAATGATTGCCAAGGCTTCATACCCCTTTTGATGCTGGGTATTGTGGGTTCATTGGGAAGTCTTTGAAAAATGCAGCGACAGAGAATGGGATGAAGATCGGTGGAAGAGCAGAAGGTTGAAACATGATTTTTTTCCCCTTTTTTAAACAAAACAAACCAGTAGCAAAATATGTAGTGTTCTCTATATTGTAAAATGCCTGCTGAAAGGCCGCAGGTAGCTTTATTTTTATTTTCTTTTATTTAAAAAGTTACCTATTTTCCCCTTAATTTGCAGTGCTCAGTTATTATTGTCAAGCTTTTGAATCCTGAAATACTTGTTTACAGTGTTACAAGAAAATAAAAATAGAAACAGTAATGCTTATTTTGAAATTACTTTAACAATTTAGGACACAGGCTTTTGAGTTTGGGAAATAGACGGTCTGATAGAATTATTTAAGTATTTTCTTAGATGCTTCTGATGTTTTCTGTCTTGTATCAGCAACATCAAAAAAAACAAAAACAAATTATACCTTCTTGTAATCAATTCCACTACCTATACTTGACATGAAGTTGGCATGTGTTTGAAGAACTGTACAAGGCTGTGCAGATGAGGAGAAAATATAAAGGTGAACATTTATGAAATGTAAAAGTTCTTCATTGTATGTGTCTCATTTTGTGGGAGAGGAGTATAGAAAGGATCTTCCTAGTAAACAACTAGTTGTGGGGCACTGTTTAATTAAAGAACTCTAGTCTTTACTTGTTCAGTTATGCCAAACAAAAAAGCATTTTTCATCTCATTCTCGGGGGGGGGGGAATGTGAATTTTCTGGGCTTTAGTTGCAACTGTGCAGTTATTTATTTTAAATATTTTTGTGTATAGCATATTTTGTGGAGGCATATATTACGATGCTGAAAAACCTTTTTATGTGGTTTCTTGTGTGTTTTTTTTTAAAGGTTAGGCAATTCAATCGTTCTCAGGTATATTAATAAGTCTGAAAGCATCTGTGCTGTGTTTGTTTATACATAATGGTGACAAACTTTCTCTGGGATGTAACCACTTGATTAGGACCTCAAGATTGGTATCTTGACGATTTTTTTGATAACCTTTTATGCAAAGATCCACTCTGCTTTCTGCTCTGATGAATAAGTCGTTTTATTCATTGCTGTACCATAATAAAGTACTTCCTCTCTTAAAAGTGAGTTTGAAATATTAAGCAATGATCTAAAGAAGCGGTCTCCAAACTTTTTTTTTAATATGTACCCTTATCAATAAAACATTTTTGATCATGCCCTCCCAATATATGTTTATTGATTTCTAAATGTTATCCATGTACTTTGGACCAATATGTACATTATAAAACATAGACTCTGGTATATTTTGTATACTCTTAGTATAGATTAATTTTCCATTTTTGGATAAAAAATAAATGCAAATAGATATTTGAATATTTTCTTCCTGAACCTCAGTACGTGATTTTGCACACCTCTGGGATGTAGGCATACCACTTTGGAAACCACAGAGATAGAGAACTGGGGATATATGCAATTCCTATTTTCATCTTCCATGGCAGTTGTCTTATATAAGGCAAATGGTAGTTGCTGCTCTCATCATGGAAATATGGTATTTTGGCAGTGTTCACACCCATATTCAGAGAAAACAGGCAGGGCTACTAAATGGATAAAACATTTTGCACTAAAATTGGATATGTCTTGAAATGGCGATTGTAATTATAAATATATTTAGAGCGAGTAATAACTTTATTATTGTGAATTTTTTTTTACAGGATGTGGAACTCTGAAGGATTTCTTAAAATACAAGGGAGAAGGGTTAGTGCATGTAGAACAAAAGGAAGGAAATTGTGCCACTTAAAGAGAAAGTATTTTTATGCAATTTTGAAGGCTAGAAATCTCTTCAGTTTTGGTTTGATTTGAAGATTTCCTTTTTAAAAGCAATTGGGATAAAATCCAACTCCGGTCAAATAGGCTTTTGTTCAGGTAGTAGAATTTTGTTCATCTATGGCAGATATGTCAAACACAAGGCCCAGGGGCCATATGTGGCCCGCAAAGTGGTTTCATGTTGCCCACGAAGCCATCCTGGAAACAGAGAATGGCCCCTGCTGTCTTGGCCCTGGCCCAGGCTGGCCGGGAGCCAATGTACAATTTTATGGTGGCCATCTATGCTGAAACGCATTCAGTCTTAGCTCCATAAGGCCGTCTGGAAACAGCGAGGAACCAGCCCCTGCCATATCGGCCCCGCCCCCTGGGTGCATGCTGGGGAGGTGTCACCTTTGTGAGGAATGAAGAAATGCACCATTGTGCTGGCCACTTCCAGGCGATGGTGCATTTCTTCATTCCTCACGAAGGGTGACACCTCCCCAGGTGTATTTCTTGCCTGTTTTTCTTCCTCCCTCATCTCAAATATTTTTCCACCACTCTGTACTTAGGAAAGAAGGAAAGGAGAGGGAGGCTCTGAGGGAAGTCCTACCTTAGTCCTGCCCTGCTGCCCTTTCACCATCCCCTTGCCCCCTTCTCCTGGCCTATCCAGGGGGTCTCCCATCCTATTGCTAAGGAAGCTTTGGATACAAAACTGGGTCTCCTCCCCTGGAGAGGGAATGGGCCTCCCTCTGACTTTGCCCTCATACCCATCATGAGCAACCTGGCTAAGGAGATCAAGCACAACAGCAGCAGCCTTGAGGAGGAGGTAAATGCAGCTGGGCGCCCCCTTGGGGAAGTGGGGCTGGGCTTAGTGCCACAGCTGCTTGAGGGCCAGGCTGGGCATTTGACCTCTGCTGCCCAGGGCTCCGGGCAGCCCGCACCACCATCCAGCCCTCCCCTATATGGCCTGAGAGGAACAGTGAGGCTCCTCCAGTGGACCATGCCTTGGCACTTGCCCTGGTCCCACCCCCTTCTGCCAGAGACCCTCAGATCTGTCCTAATCCTGCCCAGGCCCCCACAGGCACCCTTGATGCGAACGATATAGAGCTGGCCATGCCCACCCAGTAGGCCACACCCACTCCATCCATGCCCACCCAGTAGACCGCACCTACCCTGGCCATACCCACCCGCCCCCTAAGGGCAACCGCAATGCTGATGCGGTCCTCAGTGAAATTAAGTTTGACATCCCTGATCTATGGAGAGTCTCAATCATCCAGGTCATGATTGTCCCCAAGGTACTTTTCCACAAGGCAACTGGATTTTTGTTTTTTCTTGATGTTTTATTTCTCATCCAAGAAACATGTTCAATTCTGGTAGTAGAATTTTGTTCCTCTTGCTCACCACAGCCTGGTTTTGAGAATGTTTGAAATCTGCAGGGGGAAAGGCAGGCAGATTTCTGTTATAATCACACTTAATTTCAAGCCTGCAGTTGGATTGCATCCCCATTTTTATACTGTTTGTAGTATAAAAAGGGGGATGAAATCCAACTGCAGGCTCAAAATTAAGTGTGATTTAGTGACAGTTGAAAGTTAACAACAGCACTGAAAAAAGTGACTTTTTCACAGTTACAAGCTTTGAAAGCATCCGCATGATTCTGTGATCAAAATTCAGACCCTTGGCAACCAGTTCATACTTGGCCATTGCGGTGTCCCAGGAAGTGTGGATGGAAGTGTCATGTGATCACTTTTTGCAATCTTCTGACAAGCAAAGTCAATGGGGAAGCCAGATTCACTTAACCTAGTTACTCGCTTATCAGCTGCAGCGATTCACTTAAAAACTGTGGCAAGAAAAATCATAAAACTGGGCAAAACTCACTTCACAAATGTCTCGCTTAACAACGGGAATGTTGGGCTGAATTGGAGTTGTAAGTCAAGGATGACCTGTACTTAATGTATGCTATTCCTATCAATATTGAGGGTCTGTTAGTGATGGTATCTGATGGTAGTATTTACATTTTTAATGTTAGAACAACTCAAGTAGTGCAGGATCGCAAGATGTGGAGAAACCTGAATGGATATCATCATAATCATGATCATGTAATATATCAGTGGTGGCGAACCTATGGCACGCATGCCAGAGGCGGCACTCGGAGCCCTCTCTGTGGGCATCCACGCCATTGCTTTAGCCCTGCCTCCCCCCCTCTCCTCACTAGCAGGCCCCCCGGAGGAGAGTTGCCCCTGAGCGCAGCCTGTGCAGAGCAGCACAGCCAAGGACATGGCAGCTGGGCAGCGGGGACAAGACTCTGCCGTCACATCCTGTTGCATGCAGTTGATGCTGCGGGGTGCAGGCAGAGGGGGGCTGCCATGGCGCTGCTGGGCCACCTGGGTGATCTGCGGCAGGCCGTGGAGGCGGTGGGTGGCCCTGTGGGCGGGCATGGGGATGGAGCAGGGTGGGCGGGGTGGAATGGGGTGTGGAGCAGGGCCAGGTTTTGGGCACTTGGTCTCTAAAAGTTTCACCATCACTGTAATATTTGGTCTGGGCACAGAATTTTCAGCATATGGGATATAGCCCTGTTTAAAGAGTCCTTTTTTATGTCTTATACCCCCAACGTTTACCAAATCTTATGTTTCTTATCCCTGCTGTCTACTTTTTTCCTCTCATTTTTAAATGTTTTTAGCAATTTGTAAACCATCTAGAGTCCTGGGAATCAGGCGGCATATAAATTTCAAGAAATTATTATGGTTGGTCACACAGCTAGACGTTTAGACTGGATTTGGCATTTTTGCCTATTGAGTCCTTCCCAAGGATCTGGGGTAAGCAAGTGGGTTTTTTGTTTTTTGTTTTGCTAATGTTAAAAGTTACATCACGGGCTAAACTGTTCCAAGTAAAGCTGCCTTTTGCAATCGACCAATAGTGATTTTGTCGATGCTGATGCTGTTCAAGTGGTGCTTCAGGTGTTTTAGGACCGCACCCAAGGTGTACATTAGCCTTGGTACTGTTTCTGCTTTCTTTTGCCACAGTCATTCTATTTGCAGGACTGGAGAGGGTCAGGCCTTGTCCTCCTTTGGAGTATTGACACTGCATTGCTATGAGGGTGCATGGGCAGGAAAGGACAGAAACAGGAAAGGGCTGTTATCTTTGGCAGCTGTGAACAAACCCTTCTGTTTGAAAAGGTAACTTGCTGCGTCCATTTTGGCAACCTTGATTGCTCCTTAAGTGCAACACATGCTGTTTGATCACCATTTGGTAAAGTCCGTGGAGGCTGTTTTAAATCAGGCTTCCCTCTCCCTGCGTTTCTCTCTCTTTACAAATGTATATCCTCCATCTGACGCCCCAGGGCGCTGTGGCACTCTAGACTAGAGCAGCGGTAGGCAACCTTGGCTCTTTTATGACTCGTGGACTACAACTCCCAGAATTCCTGAGTCAGCCATGTTGAAGTCCACGAGTGATAAAAGAGCCAAGGTTGCCTACCCCTGCTCTAGACTCTAGAGGTCATCTTTGCGATATAGGTAGTCCTCAATATACAACCACAATTGAGCCCAAAATTTATGTTGCTAAGTGAGAAATTATGTGAGTTTTGCTTCATTTTATGACTTTTCTCCCCACGTTTGTTAAGGGAAACACTGCATTTGTTAAGTTAGTAACACAGTTGTTAAGTGAATCTGGCTTCCCTGTTGACTTTGCTTGTCTGAAGGTTCCAAATGGGGATCATACCACCCCGGGACACTGCCACCGTCATATGAACCAATTGTCAAGCATCCAAATATAAATCACATGTTCATGGGGATGCTGCAGTGGTCATAAGTGTGAAAAATTGTCATTTTTTTCAGTGCCGTTGTAATGTCGAAAGGTCGCTAAATGGAATTGTTGTAAGTCGAGGACTACCTGTCCTTTGCGTCCTTTCAGACTCCTGCCTTTGCCCACAATCACATGTGATGTGCGTTCTTGATCATATTACCTCACTCGTCCTCTTTACAAAATAAGCTTTTGGTGGGACGGGTGGTCTATTAGTGTCACATGAAAGAGTGTCGCACTCATGTCCCAAAAAACTTGCTGTGTTTGCTGCTTCTGGCCTTTGTGTGGGAAGGAAGCAGTTCCATGAGAGGGCAGTGTTGAGCTAAATTTAAGCTTTTTAGTGTTAATGCAATTTAAGGACTATCTTGGATGAGTAGAAACAGCACAAAAATCGTGCTTTGGTTTCGATTCCTTCTGCCTTTCTTGCCCTTTCTCTTTCATTCCCTCTCCTAAAAATTCAACTACCGTGAGGTGTTGATCTGAAGAGGATCCTGAATACAAATTAGGAAACAATTTGCACATTAATCCTACTCAGAACTTGTGACTCTTTGCGTGTATATTCTTGCTTAAATATATCTTTGTTCCAATACTTTATGGAGTGTCAGAACCTCTCCAGATTTG